ACAGTTGATCTAGTTTATTTGAATTGTCGTTAAATGAATGCCTAGTTTTTTCCAGAGACTGTTCTCCTGCTTGAGATGCAAAAATAAATTTAAAAGTGCCCGTATTGAAAGGATTTAATCTACTCCCAGAAAGGAGCGACTAAATAACAATGTTAGAACCTGTAAGCAGGTAACCGTGCGTGCTATGAAAGGTCATAGAAGGGCACCCAGCCCTCCTCTGAGCACCTATTCCTCCTTGAAGCTACTCTGAGGTTTATGTGATGATAAATCCAAGCAAAGAGAAGGGAGCGCTGATAATACGGGGAAATGGTTAGAATGAGCAAAGGTAGAGATGGAAAAAAAAGAAAGGATAACTTGTGTGCAAATAGCATTAGGTCTGTTAGTGGAACTTGCGTGAAAGAGCAGAGAGAGGTCAATTCATAGACACCAAAATATGTTCAGTGCAGAAACTCAGGTTATAACCAGACCCCCGAAGTTTTCAACCTTTTTTGTTTATCATAGGATTTCAAAGATTTTGTTTTTCTCATTGCAACCCTGTAACATCATAAAGACTGCAAATTAGAAAGTCAGAGGTGGAGAAAAAGAAACAAAAACAAAATAAAATTTCTTCAGAGCAGAACTTGTTTCACATGTAATGGGGGCTGCAACCCACAGAAGAATTCACCCCAACTCGCTGCTGCTGGTGGTGCAAGTGAAAACTACTCAAGGCTCCTTAAGCAAGAAAGACGTGCCAAATTCGCACTGGAATTTGCTCACACTAGCAAATTGTATAGAATGGTTTAGAAGGTAAATCCAGTCTGTCCGAGAGACTCTGCAGTGGTGGACATTTGCCCTACCAGAATCCATCCGCTACAACAGCCACTGGCTACTTGTAGATGCAGAGTGGCTAACATGGGTAAGGAATTGAACTTTAAATTGTGCCTCACTTTAATCAATTAAAATTTATTTTAACGCTACATTCATTTCTGTATTGTGTGAGCACACACCCATTGGTCTGCGGTGAAAGGAGGAAGCCCTGAGTGACTGTGTGCATTATTGACATGGGCGTGGCCATATCAAGTATTCTAAAGCCTCAGATCCACAGGAAAATGGCAAATCCAACGACACCCCCAGACTCAGGGAAACGGCAAAACCTTTCTCTGATCTGTGTGTGGATGCTCCTACTGAAGTTCACTAACCCGCCTCCTTGTTCAGCTGTATGCAATAGCCTCTTCTTCCTGTTCACTGTACACAATAAACACGCGGAGGATGTTGTGCTTTCTCCAGCCAAGAGCCCAGTCCACCTGACCCCAGCTATTCTGTTCTTTTATTTATTTACTTGACACCCCCGTCAGGTTCATTCCTGGAGACCATGCAACGATTACTTATAGGTCAGTGAACAAATTAGAGGAATCAGTTCTACTATGTGGATCCTGGAGATGGAACTCGCGGTTTAGCCAAATGCCTTTACCCATGGACCCACCTCTCCAGTCCTCAGCTGAACTTCAAATACTGCATGCAGCTAAGGTAGTGAACAGTAAAGGTCTGTATCACCAGGATAATATGGCGTGTGAAAATTGTACCTTTCAGATAGGCTCTCTCCAGTCCTGGAGGATCTGATGCTCTCTTGTGGTCTCCATTGGCACTGCACACACATCGGATGTGGAGGCAAAAGATCCATACACATAAACCAAAAACAAACTTTTAATAGTTACTGGGCCACACTGGTCATATTGCTAGCACTCAGCGTCCTCATGTGACTGAGTTAATATGCGTACAGGATATGTCTGACATCACAAAAATAAAAACTACCAAATGAACTGTGTAGAATATCTCACAGCTGTAAACTGCTGGCGAACGCCTCCTCTTTAATGAGGGCAAAGAGCCAGTTGAATCAATCAACCACGCAAGGCAAGAGACAAGGGAACTAATAAGTCTACCTGACGTTTTGGAGGGCCATTACCAACAGTGAACAATCTCTTCCCTGGGTCCAAACAGCTCCCAGGATTCACATTAACTCTCAAAACACAGGAGTATTTGTAGTACACATTAAGTCCTGGCTATAGTATATATAGAGATGGAGCTGGATGCTGACTGACCTCGGCACTCTCTTTCCTTCTGCCTCTCGGGGCTCTTTTCCTCCTTGGGTCAAGCTGTCTTTCCATCAGTTTGCCTGCACACCCCCTATTAATCAGGCCCTACAACTCATATAACTAGACACTGCCGGTCAGACATTGGTGATCTAAAAGATAAGCCCTACAAAGCATTCAGTGTTATCATTTATAAAGACACGTGAGTGACCCGAGGCTGGTCCCAGAAGGGGTGATGGCGGATCACCCGAGGCCTCGATGAGTCCCCTAGTGGGTGGCCTGAGGCCTCCATGGGAGACAGACAGATATGCCAGGCAGAGAGAGTTTGGGTATAGAGTTTATTTAGTGGGTTATGGAGGTGAAAGGGGGAAGGGGGAGAAAGGAGGGAGAAGAGAGAGAGACAGAATCTGCCTCTCCAGAAGAGAGGGGAGGAGGGGAAGGGAAGAGAGGGAGGCAATAGTTACCTATTCAGAAGTGGGGGAGCAGGCTGGGGAGGAGGTTGGGAGTGGGCAGGGCTTGTCTCTTAAAGGGACGGGGTACCCAGGTGACAGACCAGTCAGCAGATTATAACATCTAGTGCCTGTCCCAGACTAGGTAATGCTGGTGTAACATGATGAAGGGGAGGCTCTAAGCCATTTTAAAGGGATGTACAGGACCTCAGAAATCAGCACCATCTTGCCAAAATCTAGGGAGTTTCTTAGCAACCAAATCTGGTTTTTCATTCGTTTATTTTTTTTCCTAACACCCACCTGTCCATGGGTGCTGCCAGCTGACAACAGGCTACACTTCACCCATTGTTCTTCCAGGTGGAAGACCAGAGCATTCTAGTCAGTACCAATCCAGTTCATACCAAGGAAATAATCCTTCTTTGGTTCAGGAGGCTCTGGAGTCCTCAGCCACTGCCAGGAGAGCTGCAGTAGGATATTTAAAGATAGGGTGTAACAGAAAAGGACAAGTCTTGGACAGATCTCAATCTACCTTCATTCAACTCGGGACTCCCATAGAGGTGGAACAATGAGGGGCATCTCATCTCAAGATACACAATGCTTTGGGAGGTGTCTTAGTTAGGGTTTCCATTGCTGTGAAGAGATGCCAAGACCACAGCAACTCTTAGAAAGGAAAACATTTCATTGGAGCTGGCTATAGTTTCAGAGGTTTAGTTCATTATTGTCATGGTAGAAAGCATGGTAGCATGCAGGCAGACCTGGTGCTGAAGACAGAGCTGAGAGCCCCACATCTGGATCAGCAGGCAGCAGGAAGTGAACTGGTTTGAGTTTCTGAGGCCTCAAAGCCCACCCCCTCCAACAAAGGCACACCTACTCCAAGGCCACACCTCCTAGTAGTACCACTCCCAATGGGCCTATGGGGTCCATTTTCTTTCAAACCACTACAGGAGGATAGAGAACTGCTCCTTGGCTAAAGATCCTCCATGCACAAAGAATATTGTAGGACAACAGTTCTCAATCTGCCATAAGAGGTTTGTGTATTTGGAGTAATAGTAATCTTACCTGGAAATTACAAGTGGCTATGGGTAACACAGGAATCTACATGTGGGCCCAAGACATGGAGGGAATAGCTATGAAATTGGGGGAACCAAGAAAGGTAACAGGAATTATGGTAACAGGAACATAACCTAATCTACTGTTATGGTTTGGACATTAAGTGTCCCTTGAAAAGATTTCTGTGTTAAAGGTTTGTTTCCTGATCTAGTAGTGTTCAGAGGTAGGGCTTTGGGGAGATGAACCATTAATGGATTCCTTGATGGAGTCATAGTGGGATGGCATTATTGGGAGGTAGCAGAAAGCAGGAAGTGGGGCTTAATTAGACTAACTAGGTCACAAGTGGTATGTAGTGGTTTGAATGAGAATAACCACCATAGGCTCATACATTTGAATGCTTGGTCCCTAGAATGGAACTGTATGGGAAGGATTAGGAGGTGTGGCCTTGGTGAAGGAGCTGTGTCACCAAGGATGGATGGGTTTTGAAGTTTCAAAAGCCTATGCCAAGCCCAGTCTCTCTCTTTGTTTACTTGCAATTTACAGATCAGATGTGAGCTCTCAGCTACACTCCAGTACCATGCCTGCCTGCCGCCACACTCCACTCCAAGCCGTGATGACAAGAGACTCACCCTCTGAAACTGTAAGGAAGCCCCAACTAAAGCTTTCTTCTGCCTTATTCATGATGTCCTCTTATAGCAAAAGGAAAAAAAAAAAAAACAGTGACAAGACAGGACGTGTCCTGAAAGACAAACCATGCCCCTAGCCTAGTTGCCCCCTCTGCTTCCTGTCTGCCAGTGGTAGACAGCTCTGCGCCACCTCCCTGCCCTGTCCTGATGCTCTTTCAGAAACAATGGAGCCAGCATAGCAGAACAGACTATAACTTCTGAAGTCAGGAACCCAGATAAGTCTTCACTCCTCAAAGGGGCCAAACTCAGGTGTTTGTCACAGTTTCTCGCAGCATCATAAGTGTGACAATTACACCCACTTCTTTCTCACTGGCAGACCGCAGAGTTTGCTCAAGGGTTTATGGCCCTTTTGCTATTGGTCAGAGGAGGATCCTTTCCCAGCCCAAGGAAAAGGTAACTTTCATTCTTCAAGAGAGATGAATGACTTTCCTTTGCACTCTGAGATGGCTTGAATGAGGATGTTAAAGATTTGGAATGCTTGGTCTTCCATTGGTAGAACTATTTGGAACAGATTATGAGGTGTGTGGCCTTCTTGGAGGAGGTGCGTCACTTGGGATGGGCTTTGAAGTTTCAAAAGTCAAGCCATTCCCAGGTAGTTCTCTCTGCCTCCTACTGACTGACAAGGACATAGCTTTCTGCTCCTGCTCTGGTACCATGCCTGCCTGCTGCCACTGTGCCATGATGGCCATGGACTCACCCACCAGCTGCTCAAACTTCCAATTTACTCTTCTGAACATTGCTTGGTCATGGTGTGATGTGGGATTCCTCTCTGTATGCTGTGAATACCATTGGTTAATAAAGAAACAGTCTTAGGCCTGCACAGGGCAGAATAGAGGTAGGTGGGAAAAACTAAACTGGATGCTGGGAGAAAGAAGGTGGAGTCAGGAGATGCCATGTAGCTGTCACAGGGAACAGACAAAATGGAATCTTGCCGGTAAGCCACAGCCACGTGGTGATACACAGATTGGTAAAAATGAGTTAAATTAAAATGTAAGAGTTAGCCAATAAGAAGCTAGAGATAATGGGCCAAGCAGTGGTTTAATTAATACAGTTTCTGTGTGGTTATTTCGGGGCTGGGCAGCCAGGAACAAACAAGTGGCCTCCTATAACAATGGTGTCTCATTACAGCCATCTAAAAAAAAGAGCTGACAACTGGTTGTCCATGCTAATTTTTATTTTATTTCATTTTATTTACTGTCAATTTGACACAAGCTAGAGTTACCTGGGAAGAGGAACCTCAATTGAGAATATATAAAACATATCCACAGCAGACTGGGCTGCAGGCCATCCTGTGGGGCACTGTCTTAATTGATGATTGCATACATGGTCAGTCCCAGGGCATATTAAAAAAGAAGTCAACAGTAAACAGTGTTCCTCCACGGTCTCCACTTCAGCTCCTGCCTCCAGGTTCCTGCCCTGCTTGAGTTCCTGTCCTGACCTGCCTCAGTGATGGCCTATGATCAGACCATGTAAACCAAATAAACCCTTTCTCCCAGATTGTTTTTGGTTTTATCACAACAACGGAAACCTAATACACTTCTGTTCACTATATATGTCTTAGTTAGGGTTTCTATTACTACGATGAAAAACCATGGCCCCAAAAGCAAGTTGGGGAAGAAAGGGTTTATTTGGCTTACACTGTCATATCATTGTTCATCCCTGAAGGAAGTCAAGGACAGAAACTCAAACAGGTCAGGATCCTGGAGACAGGAACTGATGCAGAAGCCATGGAAGGGTATTGCTTACTGGCTTGTTTCACATGACTTGCTCAACCTTCCTTCTTATAGAACCCAGGACCTGCAGCCCAGAGATGGCCACCCAGAGTGGGCTGGGCCCTCCCCCATTGATCACTAGTTGAGAAAATGTCCTACAGCTGGACCTCAGAGCAGCATTTCCCCAACAGAGGCTCCTTCCTCTCTGATGGCCCTAGCTTTTGTATGTGTGTCAAGTTGACACACAAAAGCAGCCAGTACAATATGCCTCCCTAGAACATAAGGCCAAGGCTATATTCAAAGAGAAAGCGTTG